ACATAGATAATGAAGAAAATAAAGCTTCATCCTCTACATCTATTGTTCCCAACACCAGTATAAATACTGGAACTAATTTTAATCCAGTTGAAGTTCTTAAAAAATAAATTAAAAAAAAAATTCATTTAAACACTGAGCAACTTAAAGCAGTAGTCACAGAGAAGATGCGTCTTCAGGTGATGTCTATTTTCGAAATGGGCAAAACTGAAAAGATGGATAAAGTTGAGGAGGAAGATAGGAAAACACCCTCTCCTATTGCCTTTGATGATGGCTTTATGGATTCTCAGGAATATACCCCTTTTAAAGGTGACATTACTATTAATGAAGATTTGCTAAATAATGATACGGAGATAAACCTTCATGATGACAGTGGCAATATGTTGTATAATTTTCTTTACAATAAATGATTAGATAAAGCTAATTTTCCAAATAAAGCTAACCCGAAAGAAGTGACACATGCCCTAAAGTTACTATATGAAAAAGTGATGCACACCCTAACGTCACTATAAAGGTTATGAATAGTGTACAGTATTACTAACGTATGTAATGACGTTAATGTAAATTATTAAAGTTATGAATAGTATAGATTAGTTTTAAAATTCGGATTTTATGTTCGGCTCTATAAAAAGAGATGCAGGCCCGATCTGTGGAGCACCGCATCTCATACCTACACCTACCCCTACTCCACTCATTCCACTCTCTTCTCCTTTCTTGCACCCTCTCTAAACCCTTCTTTCTTGTAAAAACCTCCATCTTCCACCTTCCGCCACTACTACTATAAGTGTATTTTTCACATAAGTTTGTATTTTGTACTTATATTACTGACGTATCAGCAAAATCTTTTATTTAATTCAAACTTATGTACAAAATACACTTACAGTAGTAGTGTGGAATGTAGGAGATAGAGGTTTTTACAAGAGATAAGGGTTCAGAGAAGGTGCAAAAAATGAAAGGAAAGAGGAAGGAGTGGAGTAGGGGGACGTGTAGGTATGAGATGCGGTGCTCCATAGGTCGGGCCTACATCTCTTTTTATAGAGCCGAACATGAAATCTGGATTTTAAAACTAACATATACTATTTACAACTTTAATAATTTACATTGACGTCTTTGCATACATCAGTAATATTGTACACTTTTTAATGTACACTATTCACAACCTTTATAGTGACGTCAGGGTGTGTGTTACTTCTTCCGAGTCGGCTTTATCCGAGAAATCAATTTTATTTGATCATTTCCTTTAAAGCAAATTATACAGCATATTGTCGTTGTCATCATGAAGGTTTATCTCCATATCATCATTTAGCAAATCTTCATTAATAGTAACGTCACATTTGAGAGAGGTATATTCCTGAGAATCCATAAAGTCATCATCAAAGGCAATAGGAAAGGGTGTTTTCCTATCTTCCTCCTCAACTTTATCTTTCCCTTTGCCTTTTATAGCAATTGTTGGAGTGTTAGCGAAATCCACCTTTTCAGTTTTACCCATTCCGAATGTAGACATCACCTGAAGACGCATCTCCTCCATGACTGTTGCTTTAAGATGCTTAGTGTTTAAATGGGGTTTTTCTTTTTTAATTTGTTCTTTAAGAACTTCAACCAAATTAAAATTAGTTCTAGTATTTATATTGGTGCTGGGAATAATAGATGTAGAGGATGAAGCTTTATCTTCTTCTTTATCTATGTCTTTATAAAACATTTTTCAATAATCTCACATTTAGAGTCAGTTGGATAATTATTATAGTAACGAACATGATATTCCCTAATTAATTTGGGATGTCCGTTATGATTAAAGTCACAAGCCAAAGTCCACACCCAAATCCATGAAACAAAGAATCCGAGTGAGAAATTAATAATTGACTTAGTTGTTGTATCATTGTCCTTTAAGGATAGACTTTTCTCTTTATACAAGTCAAATAATTTTTTCATTTTTTTAGGGTATATCTTGTCAATAGCACCATGAGTTTCCCACCAATCATAAAACCAGTTATGAATTTTTGTACAGGTTTCAGTAAATTGGAAGAATCATGAGTGCTTTAGATTTATCGCTTCATATAAGAAGACATTATTCCAAGCATCAATATAATCAAAATAGTTATACTCCGTGTATGGAGATTTCCTTAGTGTTCTTGTGATAGTTAGATTTAAACCCCAATCTTTAATAGATATTACCCTTAATATAAGGGCTTTACTATATTGAAGATCTTTATGATCTGAATTATAATTGAGAATCTCTAGAATTTAACAAAGTCTATTTCAATCAAAATATTTTCATAATATTCTCTATCTTTATTTTCAAAAAATAAGAATGTTTGATCCAATGTCATAACTCGACCAGCAATATAATATGGATCAGACATCCAATTAACATATTCATAATCAAGAGTCATTATACTGCTATAAGCAGGCAGAGTATTTAACTTAGTGTAATTTAGTTTAGGTTTGGTGATTAAAGCCTCTTTAATAGATTTTTTAAATCAAATGACAGTATAACCGTCATCATCTTTATCATCACGTTTATGTGAAGATGAAGATTCACCTTTATGTGAAGATAAAGATCCTTCTTTAAGAAATTGATTATTAACAGCTTTAAACTTTTGAGATTCAGTTAAAGAGGGATAATAAGTATTGACCTAGGCTCTTCCGTCAGGCCTTCCTCTACCACGGGTACTACTCTGACCTCGATTCATGACAAAAATTCCATAGTAAAGAAGTTGGGAAGAGAATTAATTTTCTTTTAACATATTCAATTTTAAAATCAAAGACGGAAAGGATAGCATGCCATCTTGCAAATATCTGTTTGGAGGCACTGTTTTTGACATCTTGTTCAAGAATACTTTTAGCAGAACTACAATCTATTCTTAATAAAAATTCTTGATTTAACAAGTCATCTTGAAATTTACTAATACATTTGACAATTGACAAAATTTCTTTTTTAATAGTAAAATACTTTAATTGAGTAGATCCTCATTTTTCTGAAGTGCATCGAACCAGTAATTCTATAGCAGAATTGAGATCTTTTTGTTTAAGAATACCTCCATATCCTTTATTTGAAGCATCAGTTTCAACAATTTTAAGTCATGTTGGGTTAACTAATGAAAGACATGGTAAATATTTAGCTTTAAACTTAACTTTTTTAACTGCTTCTGTAGGAAGATCTGTCACATGAGACGAATTCTTTTTGAGTCGAGAATGTAAAATATCAGTGTCTTATGCAAGATTTTGATAAAAATCTATTAAATAATTTAAAATTTCCAAAAATCTTTGTAATTGCCTTTTATCTTTAATTTTATCCAAAAATTTGGATGCAAATTCAATACTTCTTTTAATAGGGATTATATTCTCATGTTCAATATAATGGCCTAAAAATCTGACTTTTAATTGAAACAATTTCGTTTTAATAGTAGAAATGACTAATCCATTTTACTTGACAACATATATGAATTTATTCAAATGTTTAAAGTGCTGATTAATAGAATCAGAGAAAATTAGTATATAATCAATATAGACTACGCAAAATGCATAATATAGATTAAATATGTCATTCGTAATATTCTGAAATTCATAAGGAGCATTTTTAAGTCCAAAAAGCATAACATTTCGTTTATAATGTCCAAAAGGTACTGTGAAAACAGTTTTATACATATCTTCCTTAACAATTTGGATTTGTTAATAACCTAACGTTAAGTCAAACTTAGAAAAGATCTTAACTTTATATAATCGAGATAATAAATCCTTTTTATTAGGAATAAGATATCTAATCCATTGCAAGACTTTATTTAAATGTTTGTAATTTATAACAAGTCTAGGAACTCCTCGCTTCTTTTTAGCACCATTATTAACATAAAAAGCGGCACAACTCCAAGGTAAATAGCTTTTCCAAATTAAAGATTTATCCAACAAAGAGTTAATTTCTTTTCTGCAAAGTTCCAAATAATCTTTATTCATTTGTGTTAGTCTTACCTTAGTAGGAATATCATTTTCATTAAATTCCTTGATATATGTAAGAGTTACTACATGTTTTTTCTTATTCCAAAAAACTGTTGGAATAGTATCACATACTTCATTAATTATTTTCTTTTCAATTTCATTAAGTTTAATTTTAAAATCATTATTTTGAAGTTTTTATGAGATGTTTAAAATTTTAACATCTTCTTTTAAGAAATTCAAGTGTTTTTCTGTGTATATTAGATTTTCTTGTATTTGATTTATCATTTTTATTTGTGGTAGAGTAATAAATGCAAATAATATCCGCCGACTATTTATGGTAGTAAGGATTCTTTTAGAATCAATTCTTTCAATAGGTTCAATTATAGATAAGAAGGGTGTTCCCAATATTACAAATTGATTTAAATTTGTAATTAGCATAAAGGTTGAAGAAATGCATATTCCTTGATTACAGACATAGACATTCGAAAGCTTAAACTTTATGTTTAATTTTGAACCATCAGCGACGCTTATTGATTAAGTTATTTTTTCAAAATATTTTGTAGGAATTAATCCTCCTTTAATGTAGTTCATATCTGCTCTACTGTCGATTAATTTTTAGAATCTTCAAAAATTCATATATGCTTTTTTAGAATCATCTATAACTATACAAATGAATCAAATTATGAACCTTTAATGAATCTGAATTCAAATATGATTTGCTAGAATTCAATGTAATTAAGTGGCTCGATTAGATCAAAATTTTGGATCGAATTCTAATTTTAAAGTATTTGGAGGAGTATTTCGAAAATAAAATTCGTCTGTTGTGCATGAATGCCACGGGGCTTTTTCTATATGCTTTATGAAGTGTTGGTTTCTTGGTTCTCATTCAGCTAGACATTACATTACCCAGGGACATCTACTTTCAAACACAAACAAACATACATCACCATTATATCATTCCTTTCAAGAAACTACATAAGCAAAAAAGCAAAATGAAAGAAAGAGAATTTACATTAGAAAAACCCATAAAAGTAAGAGCAAGATTGTTTTAAAAAAGTTGCACTCTTCTCTCTCTCTCTCTCTCTCTCTCTGCTTTTAGTTGGAAATTCTCAGGCATGATTGTGTTTGTAGGCAGAACCATGGCCATAGATGAACCTTGCATTTTCTTCTGTGTAAACCTGAGTCTCATTGTCCAGTCTGTCAATAACCATTACAAATCTCTGTTAGCAGCTCAAACATTACAAAAGAGAAACTTAACTGTACATACAAATGAACAGATGTTGAAAACCCGAAAGGCCCTTACGATTTCCGAACAGCTTTGCTCAAGGTAGAGGCTGATGTGAAGGTTTTGCCATCAAGGTATCTGTATTCTCCTTGAATCCTCTGTTTCATTCTAAGGTCCAATTCTTTGGCGTTTAGCACAAATGGGGAATCCGAAGCCTGTCATTTATAAAAGTGTTTAGGCTGGTTTCTTTATGTTTAAACAAATAAAACGAACGAGTGTATAAGTCCATTTGATAAGGTCTCTCCACTAGCATCATTTGAATGCACTATGCTACTATCATTGTAGTAGTATACATTTAGCGTTATCAACCACAGAAACATAATGCTCGATAATCATCAGCAAACATAATGAAAGAACACTTCATATTGACAAATAGAGAGGACCTTTTAGTCCTTGATCACAAATACACATAAAGAAGTTTTCAACAAAATAGTGATTTTATTTTGCGCCCAACATAGTAATTGGAAAATTTGGAAACAAGACGAACAAAATCTGGAAGGAAATATACCATAACAAATCCCCAAATGTCAGCATAGGAAGGAATATGTGCTGAGTAAGGCACAACATCTGCACATGACCAGAGATTACATAAAACATCAGAGGGAAAGAAAATAACAGAAGAGTGATAAATGCAATTTTTTTTGTTTATTGCTTGTGAATTTGGATGAAACTTACATTTGAAAACCTGCCTTAAAGTATTGTAGATGCAAGAAAAAACTTCTGTATGGCTGAAAACGCCAGCCGGTCCTGCCTGCAGTAAGTGAAAAATTGAACTGGTTAACTCCGCTCTCTTCACTCTTCACTCTTCACTCTTCACACCCACCTAGACATATACGCACGCACATACACACACATATATGTTCATGTATATAAGTACCTGTGTCACAAAAATGCCATCCTGATTAAGTCTTGGTTTAACTGTGAGTTCATAAAATGATTTGGTGTAGAGTTGGTAACAAGGGCCTCCTTCAATGGGGTCAGCAAGGTCCCCTATGATCACATCATAACGCTCTTCTCTCCTTTCAAGCTCAGCTCTGTTCACACATCACCAAATGCTTGATGAGCACCAAAGCAAATCAATGACAACAATAGCTACAACCCGAGCAAAGACATTAGGCAGGGTGTGAATAAGTAAAGAACCTAGCATCGTTTATGATGAGCACAAGTCTTGGATCACAGAAAACTTCTCTGTTAACCACCAAGTATGACTTGCAAAAATCAACCACCTCCTGCACCATACCATATACATAAGTTAGCCGCATCTTTAGCCTGATACCTAATAGAAATAACTATGCACCACACCCATTTTGGCCATGGGGTTTTTCTTTTTGGTGCATGGAAACTTTATTTCAAAAAAGTAGATTTACAATATAGTTCAATACCGGTCCAAGGGCTACATGTTCTTTGGTCGTGGTTTTTCGGTGCAGGCTGATGTTTCTCTTTTCTCTTTTTGATCACATGATAAAGGCACATGAAATGCCAATTTACCACTGACAAAGTATGTTTAATTGCTTCCACTAACCTTGTCATCATGGTAATTGCTAGAAGTAAGAGAAGGTGAAAGAGAGTAGGCAAAGCAGCAAAAGTAAAATTGAGTTCATATTTTAACAAAGTTATTTAGAAAGAAGATACATAAAGAATGTGTTAAGCAAAGCGGAAAAATAGAGTTTGAATTCACATTAACACAAGTTAAGTAGGAGGAACCACCTATTTTAGTACTAAACAAAGGGTAAATTATACTTTGCACTTAAAACCGTGACCTTGACCACAATTCATCCCCACTATTATCACACATTGCCCTCTCAACTCATCTCCTCGAATTGGTTTCATTCCAAGACCCAACCGTTGCATAATTTTTGACGAAAATTGTCCAGGTGTTTTGGGACAATGTGAAATAGAAACACACAATTTTGGGGAAAACTGTCACATTTCATCCAATTTGTAAAGAACCTCTGCGATGAGGTTAGTACAAGTCAACAAAAAGTTAAGCACAATGTAAGAAACATGCCAGTTTAATGTGAAACAGGGCCATTTTTTATGGTGACAAAGTATAATTTATCCTATTTGTTTCTTTAGAGAGAACACTAGAATGGCACAAGGGTAAAAAATGTGAAAGTAAAACCATATAAAGAAAGAGAGAGAGTCAATAAAACAAAAGAAATGAAATGCCACCTTATCAATGTCACACATGACAACCTTCTCTACAGTTTTGTGTCTTAGTAATTCTCTTGCAGTGGAACCCTCACCTCCCCCCATAATGAAGATGGTCTTGGGACTGAAAATATATATTCATACAAATAATCAGGTATTTGATGAGAAAAGATCAATCAATCCATACAAACAAATACATATAGCGCACACACAGATATCTATCCAATATTACGGCAAGGAAGTTGAATCGTCAACTCATAAAAACACAACAGTTAAAATTAATCCAATTTTTATCTACTTTGATCCAAAGGAACAAAATTGTTCCCAATTTTTTTTTCCCATTCAAAATCTTCATCTTCTTTGCATCGCCTTCAATGTCAAAGGACTTAATTAACACACTCTCCAATGTCAAACAATCTCACTAATCATCACCTACATATCTCTTCTCTCTCTCTTACCTCTGTGTCTCTCTTATTTTCTCTCCGTTCACTTTAATTTTAAATTGCATAACTAAAAAGAAAAAAAATTACTAATTAAAAATTAAATGTTGCATGATTGATTTTTGATATTATAGAGTGTCTTCAGGCATACGTTATTGCTAGTATATATATATATAGGCATTGACATATATAGGATGATACTTTGGGTTATGAAGAACTGCTGGATGGACAAGAGATTCATGGTAGATAAATTCATCTGTCTCTGCACTCTGAAGCTTTCCATCAATTACAAGAGCCTGTGAGGAAAACACACACACACACACAAATTTAGCATAGACGAAGAAGATGATATCAGAGAGAGCTAAAAAAAAAATTGATTTAATTAATTTCATTTAATTTTTTTCGTAAATATTACGGACCTTTCCAAAAGGCTATGTATCCAATAGTTGAATGTCCTGGTACTGAGTGGCTCCGGTGTGCAAAATGCTGCATCAAAAAGAAAAATAATACATTTGTAAGATCAAATAATCAAGTTGTTGAACTGGGTTATCAAATAAAAGGCCAGTTCGATTTTACTTTCATTAATCGTATCTTGTCCGACCTTTGTAAGACAATACTTTTTGAAAAGCACTACAAAAACTTCCCCACCTTTCAAGAATATTTCTAGATTATGAACTTTTGGCCCTCTCTTTTTTTTTGGCATTCGTCAAGTTTATTAATGATATTGTTCATGAATCTTTCAAAGAAACCAAAAAACACCAGGAAAAAAAAAACAAATAGTTGACAGATAGGAACACCTATTGAGAGCAAAGCACCATCGCAAGTTCTCTTCAATTTCTTCTTCATACCAACAGCTCTTTCTCTGACCTCCCACTGAAAGACCATTTCCATGAAATCCATTCCCATTGTTAATCCCATTGGAGCAGGAAATGTCACCCATTTTCCTATAGCTCAAAAGTACTTCAACACTCTGTGTGTGTGTGTGTGTGTGTTTCAGAGAGAGAGAGAGAGATGAAGAGAAGTGAAGGTTAGTGCACAATATAAGTAGGGAAGGTGGCAGGGAAATCCAAAAGGGCTATGATGGAAGTTGGGTATGGGTGGGATCAACACTGAAAAGGGGAAAGATACAATCCTCGTGGTGTTGTGAAGTCCAAATAATATTAACAAAATATAAAAAAAAAATATTGTACAAAATATATAGAAAATAAGTCATTTTAGGAACTTAATTTATCATGGATCTTCAGGATTACACTATTTTTTTTCTTTCTAATTTCTTTCTTTTTTTTCTTTCGTTGATTTTCAGTGTGTATCTCTCATATCTGAAGTTTGTTTTTTTATAGGCAGAGAATACATCTGGTAGGAAGACGACTAGGGGTTAGAGATGGGAGAAGTAATATTATACTAAGATAGTGTTTAATGCATTAATACTACCCTTGTCAGCAAAATATAGTGGGTTAAAACATTAGCCAAGAAAAAAGAGTACAACATACAAATGAATACTCCCTCTAATGAGATTATCCCCTGATAAGAAAATTAATTGAGCTGGTTTCAAATCTAGCGCATTCTAATATCATATATCAACTTTTTGAATGTTGAAGAGGGTAAAACTTTAATCAATAAATCTGGAAGATTATCATTTGATCGCATCTGTTTACTTCAATTTCACGATTCTACTAAAGTTCATGAGTATAGAAAAACTTTGGTGATATATACATGGTTCTGTCCCTGAATACCGTTATCTTAATACATAATTATTTAACAACTCTTTTTTAAAATCATATAATTTTATATTAAAATGAACAGAAAGATAATAAAAGAGAAGACAGAGGTAATTGTAGATGAATAGATTGTTTAACATTTGAGAACATATTAGTTGAGTTGTCCGACATTAAGAACAGTGCAAGGATAATAATTTTTTTGAGTGAAAATAATATTTGTATATTTGAATCAAAATAGATAAAAATTAAATTAATCTTAATGATTATTATATTTTTATAAATTAAAATCTTAACATTGTTAGTTGTAATATTATATAGATGTCTATGACCGAGTTCCGATACTATATTGCCAATACACTTAGTTGATCATGAAAATTCCTACGGTCGAAATGTGAGGCATACGGATAAGGCATGGCATGTAGGTTCATTATGTTGGCCAAAACTCCTATTCAAATACCGGGAATTCAAGTGGTAATAAGAACGAATTGTAACATTAAATATTTTGAATTTTAATTTTAATAATTTTTGAAGTCATGTCATAAAGAATTTATCTTTTATAAATATTCTAATCTCGATATGGATGGTCTGTTTGTAATTAGATCGAGAATGGATTAATTGAGATGTGCATAAGATGATTTAAATACCCCTAACTGTCGAACAATAAAAAAAAAAAGCAAAAAAAAGCTTTAGTTAGTTATATACTACCAATGCATTGCATGAAAATATTATGCAATACTAAAAATTGAATATTGATTGTGTAATATTTATATTTCAAATAATAATTTATTTATTTTTCAATTATATAATTTATTGTTCAAAAAAAATTATATAATTTAAAATTAAAGTGAACAGAGAAAAAATTAAGAGATATTATATAAATAAAGATGAGAGAAGAGAGAAGTATGTGTAAATTAATATAATTGTTTGACATTGAAAGTGCCTTGGTTGAGTTGCTTTACATTAGCGATCGTGCAAAGAATTTAATGATATTTTTGAGCAAAGAAAAAAAATTTGAAAAAAAATATATATATTATTAGATCAAAATAAATAAAAATTAAATCAATTTTAAACATTTTTGTACTTTTATAAGTTAAAAATTCAACTTTCTAAGTGTATTATTATATTAATTTTATTTGTATTTGGTGTATGAATTTAAACAACTAAACTTAATTAAAACACATCCTAAAGGTCGAGTCTTAATCAATTGATTATTTAAATTTAAGGGTATAAAATAACATTTTAACCAAACAGATTTTGGAAGAAGAAAGGTATAAAAGATGATGATTGTGAGGTGACAAAAACCGAAAATCAGGCTCATTCTTTTCTTCAGAAACTTGGGCAAATCTTGGTTGGAGAGAGAGAGAGCTTGCTGTGAGAATCATGATGATCCATATTGTCTTGCTCAAAAGATGAATGGCGTGCCAAGCCTGGGCTCACTCATTGTCACCTTTCACCATTTTACCCACCAGACCAACAAACAAACACCCCTCCCTCCCAAAAACCAAGAAAAAAGTTTCAATCCCACCATCAATGTAACACTTACTAAGAGCCCTATTGTGTATGCCAGTTAAAACACTTTTTTTTTAGTTAACGGTGAGAATGTTTGGACTACTTTACACATACTTTCATTAAATTTTTTTTCGATCTAGTCGAAAGTAAAACATTCACGTCAAGATTAGAATATTCACGAAAGATAAATCTCTCATAGCTTATCTCTAAAAGGTTGCCAAAATTTAAATTCATGACGTCTAAATTTACAATTCGTCCTTATTACTACTTGACTTATACATTGAGATTGTTAAAACACCTACGCATCACTCACATGGGTAACTTAATGGTGTGGAAACTTGAACGAATTATAGACCGAGACGTTAGGAGTTCGACTTTTATTAGTATTTTTTAAACTTAACTGATATTTATAATTTACGAGTTATTACAAATATTTGAGATTTATTCTCGTAGAAATGGATTTAAAATAATACTTACAGAGATTTATCGTTAACCAAAAAAAGAAATACCCACCCACGGTTCTTTTGGTTTTTGTGGCACATTTTAATTGATGATAACCATCTTTGTCACCAATTTTTTTGGGTGCAGAGGTAGTGATACGACCACCTAGACATTGTTCCACTTGTGATGTCAAGTAGCATCAGCATGATATATGCCTTCTTGGGCCAATGAATGGATTTTAAAAGTATTAAGGTTGATGTCATGTATTAATTATGTTTTTTGAATTTATGTTTACTCATTTATATGTCGAGTTTAATTGGTCTATTAGTTTACTCCTCGAACCAACTAAAATTAAATCTAAACTTATTAATTTTGTGTTGGTTTTATGTCGAATTCGTAATTTGTGCTTACAATTGTTAGACTTAGACAAACCATAAGAGTATTTTTGGTTGTTTGCGTCATGTATTTAAAGGTAAATCTGTCGGTGGATTGACTTTGATCAAAATTGAAATTCGATTAGTTGGATATGAATTGATTGGATGAATTATCTAAATTCTAGCTAAATCAGTTTGATTAAATTGCGTTTCTTTGTATTTGAATATATAGTTCGATTGTGATCCGATCTTAATTATATATGAATATGTTAAAATTAAGTAATTATCTAATAAAATTTAATTGAAATTCAGATATACTACTAAGAATCAATTGTAATAAAGTTATTCGGATCAAATTTCATATGTTTACATGTTTTTGATATAGAAATAAAATCAATCTAGTGCTTAGATAGATTATATAAATAAAAAATCTCAAATAAGATATAGATTCAAAGAGTAGTACACGGTACCCAAAAAAAATATTAGTATCATACCACAATTTATAAATTTTGTGGATATTTTTATAATTTTATGGGTATTTTTATCACTTTTATAGTAACTTATGATCAATCTTAAAATCCATTTTATCTATTTTTCAATAATGTGGACAAGTGAGTCTCACAAAATTTAATAACCATTCATCCATGTAATATATAACAACTTTTATGTAAACGAGTCAAATCATAAAAAAATTTTATTGGACAACTACGCCACATAACACTACGACGTGGTGTACATACACTTACAATAGAGAGAGAACAAATAACAAGTTGCCGCATCAAGGCAAGCCATTGATGCGGAGCAATTAGGCTGTCTAAGCCCTGGCATCTTTTGGACTTACATCATTCATCGTCGGATTGTGCTCAAAAAAATTGGCCGGCCGGAGCTCGAACCCGCCACTCAGCGTCGGCATGATCGGAAAATCTTCTTGGGAAGGTACATGATGGAAACCTAATGTGTACCATAGCACAATGTCCTTGTTTTCTATGATCCTATTCCTGCATTAATAATCAACAACACAGCTTAATAATGTTAACCCACATATACATATAACTTATATATTCATATAAAATTCAAATTAGATTAGATCTGACTAATCAGATTTGGTCTCGGATCACATTTAGATCAAATTCTATCTATTGACGGGACTATTAGTGGAATGATTACGAATTTCCTATTAAAATTTAGTAGTACCTGAGGCTCCATACAGCTAAATTGTCGTCTCCATGGGACTGATCGGCATATAATCCTCCTGCCCATTTTTCTGACTTGTTATATGGTGTAACCCACACATTGTACTTCGAAAAGGCCCCACGTATCTGTGTGTAATCATCGTCCGTTAAAAGGGGACCCACCACGGACCCTGGGATCAGACGGTAGCCAACTTGGTTCCCCACTTTGGTCTTCTTGCTAGGGTTCACAACTAATAACTCAGTTGGCTTTTTGTTCAGCTGAATCCTTGCATCAGACTCGGTTTTAGCAGTTTCAATCACAGCCGTCCAATAACTCTTCCTCGGTGATCGGTTGCCCGTCACGCGCCTGGTTTGCAAGTTGGTCTTGACAAAGGAGTTGGCATCACCGTCGATGTCTAAGTCAAGGTTGAAGTTGAGGAAGTGATCGTGATTCGCACCCAATGTGTTCTCTGCTACTAATGTGCCGTAGACTTCTTCTTGTATCTGGTCTTTGTGTGTGTAGTTTGAGCCCCTCACAGCAAGCAAACCAGTTAGGCCAACCTGTGAGAGTGAAACTCGGTTTATTATTATTTTTTTTAGCTTATAAAAAAAAGGGTGGAATAAAAAAAAACACGAGAAACCACTTGATAGACCTTCAAAAAGGGTGATTCACCCCACTAATAGTGGCAAACTTGGTTTATATG